GTAGGCAGAACATGTCTAAATTATTCAACGAAATGTCTCAATGAAAACATGCTGCCAAAATATATGCATATATTTATGTGTGTGTGTGTGTGCGCGCGCGCGTGCTCATCAAAAGAGGATGACATCAGAGGCAGGTAAGTTTTAGGGTTTTGTGCAATCGGAAGGGTCCATAAAATTTAATCTCAAACTCTGCCAGTCGGATCCGTTTGAATGGAGGGATCTCAAATAATAGAACTAATTCTGACACATCATTTAAAGATCTAATAACTTTGTTCTCACTCAAGAAAAAAAAATGGCCCCAACAATGCACAGATTCCGATGGGGGTTCTCGGAGGCCCCAAAATTGAGAAAATGTACCTCTCGGTATATATATATATATATATATATATATATATATATTTCAAACTTTACTTTTAGTGGATATCCGTATTTTAGTGGACGTTCTGCTGATTTTAAACAACATTTATTTCGTCTACCGGCCAACACACTCGAGAAAACTTATTAAAGAATATCTGCCCTTTGCCACTGCTTAAAATAAACGAAATGCCTGCTTAAATGCACCCACTAAAACACTAAAAAGAACGTTTGATGTAATAAAAAAAACATGTCGGATTAAATATAAAAACCTTTAATTCTTTAGAAATACACACACACATACACTCATATATATATATATATATATATATATATGTGTGTGTGTGTGTGTAAAATGAGAACGAATAGAGTACAATTACAACGTTTGTAACATTTAATTTAAAAGAGAGCTCAATACAAAAATAGAGAAATATTCTTTATTTTATGATATTACAGCAAAAACCGCTACACAATTGCAGTCGTGTTTCGATGCGAATCAATGCATCTCAGGCGTTAGTAAGCATTTACTAACGCCTGATAAGATGCGTTGATTCGCATCGAAACACGACTGCAATTGTGTAGCGGTTTTTGAACATGTTTTTGGTGTAATACCTTAAAATAAAATATACAATTTAAAGAAAAACAAACCACTTTAAGGCTCCATTAGTTATAATTTATTTCACCAGAGAATTTTATTTTTCTCTGGATATTCAGACATCACTTTCAAAGGTGAAAAGAAAAATGAATTTAAAATTAACATTGAGCTCTCAGGATTTCACCCTCCTTGGGATTATCCAAACGGATTACCAAGATTTTCGTTACTTATATATGGACCCTTCAGCCTGCACAAAACCCTGAAGTCAGACCATGTCGATTGAGTTCGCATGTCCTGGCGATTGCGTTCAAGCATGGAACAAACTGTCGCCGTTGGGTGCTGACCTTCACGTTCACTTTTATATTCACATACGCTCCATCCCTGATATTGTGTTCTTTAACCCATAAATATAACATACATAAAATTATATTTTTATCATATATTCAAGCATTTTTATTGAATAATATATTTATATTATGTCTGTTTATTTGTATAATAATCCTTTCTAGTTCTCTCATTAACTTCTTACTGTTAAGTTGAAATTCATCATGGAAGGCGCCGTAGTTTTTGTTACTTTCGATCTCCTCCGAGAGGTGAATTGCGAAGACAAACTTAATGTAACTGTGATCGTTGTGGTTTTTGTGAACACGCTTTGTTATAATTATTTTAAAAATTTATCTGTTGTAGCTATGATGTTTTTGTAAACAAGCGTTCACAATGTAAGGAAGCTAACCAGAGATGATAAAATGCAAAATGACATTAAATGTTGGTCAAATGCATTTTAAAACATTACTACTACACTCGTAATAAATTTTGTTCAGTGTTGATTGCTTTTGATATAAAGGGTCTCGAGAATTTGAAGTTTTTGTTTATTATTTTCATTGTGTAGTATATTGGTGTTGTCAACAAGTATTTTCCTGTGTTTTGAAGGTGGACAGGAATGTGTCTTATTTAAATATTGTGCAATAGAACTTGTACTGGCATCTTGATAATGTTGTTGTCGTCAAGCTAACATATGTACTTACTTTTTTGTCATATAAAATCTCCCAAAGGACATTTAAATTGGATATACAATGTTGGTGTTTTGCAAAACACTAGTTGGCGCGGAAGAGTTATTGCAGATGATTAAAATGGTTGTCTTAAATTTAATATAGTATATAATTAGTTTTATTTTTTTATTGGGATCAGCGGGAATATATTAGTTATAAAAATTTAATTTTTATTATTTTAAACTTATAATCGTCTCGGTTGTTTTTTTTTTAAAATACATGTTCTTTTGAGAGAAATGTATTTTTATGTAGACCAGACGGTTTGTGTAAAAAATTGTGCATCTTTTTCAGCTCAGCGGTTAAAACCCGCTAAAATTTGTGAAAGATCATTTCCAGCTTATGGAAATTTATTTATTTATTTTTTTGTATATTGACCAATGAAAGACGTGTTCTCAATTTTCAAGCTCTAATAACATCCCGAATAATGGGACAGAGTTGAGCCTAAATTTGTAAAATAAATAGAGCTCAGGTCAGTAGATATGAACAGAAGACTTTTGACAGAAGGCAGGTCGACTACATCAAAGAAGGTAACAGTTACCAGACCAAAGTTCAAGCGAAAATTCTCCTATGGCTGGATAGCCTAAAACGAAAATATTTCGAAGAAATTTTCCCAAGCATGAACTGTGCGAAGTTAAAAGGGACCTTAAAAAAAATTACCGTGAAAGTAGGTTTTTCGTTTTTTTTCTCAAAGGTTGTTGAACCTTTGTTTTTTACAACTTTCTTATTTTCTCATTTTGTCATCTACAAAATCCTTGTTTTTTCCTTAGCTGTAATTTTCCACTTTTCGCTGGTAGTCCTTGAAATTGTTATCCCGCCTTAATAGGCGCTCAAAAGGAATTTTTCGTGTAAAATTGTATTATACTTTTTTCGTCATTGTAAAATAAATCTGTCATTGCTTTTAAAATTTTACGCAGTGGTTGTCTTATTTCTTTATTTTGCTCCTATTATTGTGCTCTGCTATTTCTATTAAATAAGTTTTGTGTTTGGCACAAGAACTTGGATTTGGTAGGAATCAAATTTTGACATAGTATTTATGAGATTTTTTCGTGATTTTTTCATCTTGTTTATAGTTAGAATGCATTTGATTACAGTATTGGGTTGATATATTCATCATCATATATATATATATATATATATATATATATATATATATATATGTAACCCGGATATAAGAGACTTGTGGGGACTGGAGAAGAAGTCTCTTATATCCGGGTTTGGTCTATTTATATAAATTAAAACAGGCTCTAATTTGGGACCAGAGAAAATCTCTTATATCCTGGTTTCTCTTATATCACGCTCTCTTATATCCGCGTTACACTATATATATATATATATATATATATATATGAATGATTGATGTAAAAAATATATATATATATATATATATATATATATATATATATATATATATATATATATATATATATATAATGAAAATAGACAACTTTAAGGGTCCATTAGTTATAATTTATTTCCCAGGGAATTTCTTTTTCCCAGGCTCATTAGACCACAGTTCCAAGGGTAAAAAAAAATAAATATATATTTATATATATGTGTGTGTGTGTGAATGTTGGTGTGTATATATATATATATATATATATATATGCAATTTTTTATATATATTATTTATATAACATATATGCGCGGTACTTATTGGAGAGCGCTCAATAACATATTCAGTTGAATTGATGTAAGTTTGTGAGCCTGGGTTTCGCGCTATTTGTGATCATCAGACAAAAGTTTGTCTGACGATCGCAAATAGCCTGGAACCCAGGCTCACAAACTCACATCAATCCAACTATATATAAATATTTCCTGATGCAAAATGATAACAATATTATCAATTTTATTATTAATTACAAACATTTTAATTTGTATTTGCCATACACGTTAATGTAATAATTCTTATTACTCTGATTTTACAATATTATTTAGATCAAACGCAATAACAGAAAAAACGTAAAAATATATATTAATATTATTAATATGCTATAGTTAAAATAAATTTGATAGTTTTAACAATTCATATACTAATTCCCCGAACGGACAAATAGGAGATTTATAAATGTATAAGATGGATTTCGACGAGAAAAATTATCTAGCACGACATAATTGTTGTAGTGGGATCCACCTAATTTGCATAGTGGAGTACCGACCATATAAATATGGTTGGTACCGGGAAGAGAGGAAGGAATCAAGAGATTCAACCAGAGACTCTGCCCGAGTGCGACTCAGTCAACACATTCTCCAGGAACGGTCTTACCAGGAATATACAAAAGACTATATGTAAATATTGTGTATACTTTCTTGTTTCAATACATTTTGTTCTAAGTACCTTTTGTGTTGCATTATTATTCCATACATTAATCAAGTTTCAACAATAATAAACCAACTTTCCTAGCAGCAGACCTAGCAATTAATTCAATATAATAACTAATTGATGTCATAGGCAAGCGTAAGCCCAAGAAGAAGAAAAGAGTTGCTCTCCTGGATGTTAGCATCCGCCATATGCTGATGGCAGGCAGGAAGGGTTCACTAAGTGATTGAGTAATGTTCATTTTATAAGTGGATCAGGTAAAAATAATATAGAATCAAGAAATCAGATAAAATAGAATCAAGAAGCTTTAAAACTTAACATCTGATGAGTGGATCAGATAAAATAGAACCAAGAAACTTTAAAACTTAACATCTGATTCATCACTACCACTTTTATCATCTGGTTTAGCACCTTCCTTGGACATTTTATTTTGTGGCGTCGTCTTGTTTTTTTTCTAGTACTATATTTTTAATGAGTATCATTACTAATCTGCTCACGAGTCATTATATAAACAGTTCACCAGCTGCTCATATTATAACTGGGGCCATGACAAACTTTGATTTTTTTTACTGGTATTATGACTTGATAAATAAAATTTTACGACGAAACCCAATATTTGGATTCCCACTATCAGTTCTGACATGAAGTAACAACTGTTTCACATATTCACCAATATTTGTTGCTCACGGTCACATCACGTTGAAACACCCGTTCCCGTACGATCACCGAAGTTAAGCAATGTCGAGCATGGTCAGTACCTAGATGAGTAACCACTTGGGGATACCAGGTACTGTGAGTTTGGATGTGCGAGTGGTGTAATAGATAATGACTCGAAATTTTTTCATCGTAGGCCCGAGTTACAATTCCAGTTAGGTTCATTATATCCACGTTCACTCTTGGGAACAGTATGAATCCCACTCTTCTCCTCCCAGCTATGGGTTAATTATTAAGACATGTATACATCACTAAAGCATTATTGTCTCCTTCTTACAATCTAAAAATGTTTTCTGGCTTTAAATAATCTGCAAAGGATTGAGATATCCGAAAAAACGAATCAGTCAGTCATCGATATTTATCGAATTTAGTTCCGTACAGGAGTTTAACCTTACATATGACATTATTTAGCTCATTGGCAATTGCCTAAAAAGACCAAAATTACTTGATGGTAAGCGACCCGTTCACACTCTAATAAGTAACTACACCAATAAGCCCGTAGCATAAACTTCACCCTATAAATATTTCTTCTTCCATGTCAATTCATTTCTTATATGAAATATTATACATAGAAAATTCTAAATCAAATTCATTTAATGACTACGTATCAGTCTACGAAGTTACTAATGTTTTCTGATATATATATATATATATATATATATATATATATATATAAATAAATTAAAAAGGGTGGGTGCAAACGTTTTTGGTTGTAATGTGGATTTATTGAGAAAAAATATTATACTTTGTTTTACATAATTTCACATTTCACGACACGTGTTTCTAGAAAGAAAATTCGGATTGCCAACACACAAACAGAATGTCTCATATCGAGAATATTCCACATTGAACATGAAGAAAAATTAATTATTTTTAATAATATGTAAAAATCTCCACTTTCACCTGAAGACGGTTGCGAGACCAGACCAGAAACACGTGTCGTGAAATGTGAAATTATGTAAAACAAAGTATAATATTTTTTCTCAATAAATCCACATTACAACCAAAAACGTTTGCGGCACCCCTCTTCTTTTTAATATACATACTTTTCTCTCGTTGGAACCACTACAACATATTTCTTTTATATATATATATATATATATATATATATATATATATATATATATATATATAATATCAACTGGATAACTATAGGTAAATGTACGAGCAAGCGTTCGTATACAAATATATACATATATTGCTGAACATTTAATAAATAGTAGGAAATGTGTGGAAAATTTTAGTGGTGACCGATTTATAATTTTATCTATCCCACTCCACATTTCACCTCAAGATTCTAGAATCCTAGTCTATCAGATCCCGTGAGCCTTCCCTTTGTAAACAGAGGGAATGCCTGCTGGGTCTGAATATTATTGGACTCTAGTTTCTTGAAATTCATAATTTTTTCCCCCCATTCGATTACATTCGTTAATTAAAAATTAATTTACACGCTTTTTTAAATTCCCAGAATAAATAAACTTGATAAATCCTGAGACGAAACCGGTTGTTTTTATTTTAGCTTTTGCTTATAAAAAATGCCTTATAAATATTGTCTTTTTCCTATCTATTATTAAATTATGTACTACGAAAAACTATATATATATATATATATATATATATATATATATATATATACTACAGGGCAAGAAAAAACAGTGCTCAATGTTAAATAACAGAGCTATTTAATACACTAAAAATATACATAATACCATATATATAATTATTTAAAAAATATGATTCCTTCGCTACATAAGAGTTCTTATGTTTCAAAAACGAGCCGAAAACCTCAATATAATTATTAAAATTAAATTGAGTTAAAGTATCAAGCCCTGTTTTATCCTCAAGCGAAAATTTATAATTATAATTTTAAAAAAAAATAATTAAAATTTAAGCTCTACTTCTGTATGGAGCACTGTTTTTTAAAAATAAAAACAACAATACTAAAGAACTCCGGATTATTTACCTAACGGGTTCTTTACAATTTTTTCTACATATCTGCACACACACACACACACACACACACACACACACACACACACACACACACACACACATATATATATATATATATATAATCAAATGGATGAATATAGGTAAATATACGAGCAAGCGTTTCTATATATATATATATATATATATAATCAAATGGATGAATATAGGTAAATATACGAGCAAGCGTTTCTATATATATATATATATATATATATATATAGTTAAACCTAGAGAGCCAGACAAACCTACCAAGGTTTCACCTAAGTGGATCATCAGAGAAGGCTGGTTAAAAAGGTAACAAAAGAACGGAATATTTATAGTCTATAAACAAAAAATGATCACCAAGTGACCAAAAAACAACAACAAAAAAGCAAACAACATACTTATAAGATTATTACTAGTACTACTAATATATATATATATATATATATACCTTATAAAGTAAAAGAAAAACAGTGCTCAATGTTAAATAACAGAGCTATTTAATATATTAAAAATATACATAATGCCCTGCATTGGTTGCACAACTCAGAGTTTCATACTACCTGCAATTGTCAGGTGCAAATTTTGGGTTTACACCACTTCGTTAATATTTTTCGCTATCGCGGGATATTTTAATTGTTTATGATGGATTATTATTATTGTTTTTAAGTATTTAACATACACACCAAATTAAAAGACATCCAAACTTTATTTCCTAACCAATAAACAGACAATATTGTCAAAACGTGACTGTGGCTTCAAACGAATTAACTACAACGGCATGGCCTGCCAGTCGGCGACTTCAAACGAATAATTTTCATTAACTACAAAGACGTTCAATGAAGGTTTTTTTAGCCTCAATTTTTTTCTGAGTTAACTATCCAGACTTTAACTTAACTCAGGAGCATTTTTACTCCTTTTTAACTCTTTGGAATTTATGTACACACATTTGTAAATACAAATGATTTATTTAACAGTTATACTCACGTTTTCTTTATTTTTGTTTTGTCATGGTTAGAATTCGGACGTTCTGATAATAATATTACCCCCGCAACTTAAGATTTACCCTGTAAACAAGGATGTTCAGTTCAGGATATATATATATATATATATATATATATATATATATATATATATATATATATATATTGGGACGTTTTGTTTTGTTTGGTTTTGTTTTAAGGCATATCAACCTCAATGGGTTATTTAATGTCGACAACTTTTTTTTACCGGCAATATTTTGTTTTGTCAAAAAATCTATTTCTGGCAACATTTTTTTTTCCTCAAAAATATATAGCTAGTAATATTATTTTCAAAAACGTGTTGCTGGTAATATTATTTTTTCAAAAATGTATAGCTGGTAATAGTTTTTTTCTACAATGTATCTACCCCGGGTCAAGGTGTACCAGGGAACACCAGCAATTAAGAGGTGGTTCCACGCTCCTCAAAACTCCTGATCAGATGCCTTCTGTTGGACGTAATTTATCTTCTTACCATGGACGCGGATGTAGTTTATTGTCATACCCAGGACGGATATATATATATATATATATATATATATATATATATATATATATTATTTAAAATAACGCCCACAACTTTGGTAGTTAAATATTATGGAAACATGTTTGTTTTGTCTTCAAGCAACCCGGATGTGGACTTCGTCCTGTTTCTAGTATCGGTATTTTCTGGCATATACACACCCCAAAAAACATATTGCAGGGTTTTTATTTTTAATTTATATATATATATATATATATATATATATATATATATATATATATATATATATATAAAATCTTTAGACGCGGAATATAAAGAAGGTCTGTTCAGAAGATTTTTTTCATTATTTTTAACTGTTTGATTTTCAATAGTAGAAATAGCTAAAAATAGTTAAAAAAATTATATTGGTAGTACCAAGAATTCTTTTAAATCTAGGTGGCATCAACATGCTCACAAAAATATGACGTCCCTTTCTAAATATTTTTGGAACTTAAAAGAAGTTAGCAAAACCCCATTCGGTAAAATGGAAAATACTAAAAGAAGTTAGAACTTGTAAATTTTTTAAATGATCCTTATTTTTTATGCTTACATGAAAAGTTAGAAATTATCCGATTTGCCGACAAAAAAAAAAAACTCTGCTAAACCAAAGAAGTGAATTATCTGTAAATTGTCGACACAGTTTATCTTTTACCTTACACTATAGTTAATTTTTTTTTAAATTATGTAATTCCATTTTTTATTGCCATAATTTATAAGTAAATAATAGTCCATCTTCTACAAGTAATTATCTTATTTTGTTTATTCAGATTTATTATTGCTATTTATTGCCATCCAGTTAGTATTATCTATATCTTGTATAAGCGTTCCACATTTTTAATGTTATCTACAGGTTCCTTTAAGAAGCTTCCTGAATCTGAAAATTTAAAACATTTCTTTTGAAACTTTGCGTCTAATTATCCTCCTTCCCCTCCGCGCGGCGTCTTTTGAAAAATTGAACATGTTATATTTGTCTGCAATCACAATACCTTTGTTGCTTAAATGTTTTACGTAATTGTCAATGATGGCCTGTCTAATTTCCGGTTTATCATGTCATGAAAAAATAACTTCCCCACCTTTACCCTCTGAGCTTAATTTTCAACTTAGCGTAGATTTGATATTTATTTGGTCGATCAAGACAAAACCCACAATTCTATTTTTAATTCTGACTGCGTTGTCTTGCCCCGCCCTTTATCTTTCGGAATAGAGGTTACATTTTGCTTTAGAATTTTAAAAATAATTATTTAATCACCAGTCTCTTACCATTCGCCTGAAGAGGTACAACGCAGTACCGAAACACGAAAGCTATTGTGTAGCGATTTCAACATGTTTTTGTTCTAATATCTAAAATAAAATAATACACACGCACACACACACACACACACACACACACATATATATATATAAATATATATATATATGTGTGTGTGTGCGTATATGTATTATTTTATTTTAGATATTATATATATATGTAAGTAATATATATATATATATATATATATATATATATATATGAGTAAATAAATCTTTAGACACTGGATAGAGACAGGGTCTCTTCAGGTGGTTAA